AAAAAAAAAAAAAAAAAAAAGGAAAAATCTATTGATCTGTGACAGTTTCGTCAAGTTTTAGAATATGTATATATTTAAATATTTTTAATGATTAAACAATCTATATTACATATTTTGACCAATGCAAGTTTATGGTAAATGATAAAATTTTTATTTCATATTCATATGATATACGTAATACAAATATTATTATTATTATATCAGCTGGTATAAATTTACCTTTATTATAATTTATTCTAATTGACAAATGAAAAATGAGTTTGAAAGTACGTAAATACACAAATCAACCTACTAATTTAATATTACCTAAAAGTATTTTATAAATTATACAAAAGCATGTTCCCTGTTACTATTTCATTTTTCATTTCACAATATGAATTATGATTGTGACACAAACATACACATAATCAAAATAGTATAATGACTATTGAGAGCAAACTAGATTTTCTTATAGTATGTTGAATTAGATAACTCATCAATTAACTTTATATTTAATTAAATTTTTGTTGCTATCATATCAAAAATATACTTCTTGGTCCACCTAAATAAAAAAATTCTTGTGGAAAATTGATGAAATTTTAGAGAAATGATTTTGAGCCAAAATTTTAGTCGACTCGCTGATTAACATTGTATTCGTTAATGGTGATGTGTTAAAAATGAGCAACTTTTAAACTAGCTATATCGCTAATAGTATATACCTAGCTAGGCCTCATTTACTTTGCTTGACGGGATTGGACATTATAATTCAGCCAACTTTACACGTCAGTATTTTGTCTCATGTTTACATTATAGGATTCAAATCCACAACTAGTCAAACATATAGAATCATGAACTATATGAAATGATATAACTTGAAATGTCTAATTTACCCTTTCATTCATGGTAAATAATTTGACATCGAGGGGTATTCTTGTCTTTTCGCAAGCAAAAATGAGGGCAAAAATGGTCATAGTGGGACTTGGGATAACACAATCCCAAGGGTGGCCGGGACGGAATTATCAGCCAAAAAACGATAATAAGCCTGTAGTAGCCCACATGCCACATGTACGCCACATAAGATAAATCATATCATAATCCTACAAAGTAAACACGAGCTAATCTTGGATACTTTTAATCAATCTTATTTCTGGCCCTATCAACTAAATTAAAAGAGACCCTAATGTACGGACTTTTAGGGACAGTAAAAAGAAATGGTAAAATTAGAAAGGTCAAATAGGTAATTACCATATTGACTAGGGTAATTAGCCAGGGGATAAATAATTTGCTTTACTTTAACACTCAAATATAATGATCTATACAGATTCCCTTGTCTGATGATTGTGTTAATTAATTAAGACCTAAAAAAAAAACACTAAAAGGGGTTCCCTAATATCTGGATCATGCTTCCTAATAATATCTCTCAATGGACACAAAGTTATAAAAGTAACACCATAAAAGATGCGTTTTCAAGCTATAACTTATAAGATATTTGATTAATTGATGATATTAATTTAATCTAGGGTTTTCCCTTAATTATTACCAAAGTTATTTATTTATTTAAGATTTCTAATTTTTCAGCTTACAAATAAAATAATGGAGAATGATACAGTCCCGTTACGGAATGGAACCATTCTGTCGGGAGTTTTAACCGTTGGATTATCATTTACCGTATACTAACTACATGATGATCAAACGGATAAAACTCCTGACCGAATAGTTCCGTAACGAGAATGTAGTATTTCCCTACAAGAATACTTGTAAAATTGTATTTTAATAGATCAGAGTCTCAACATCACCATAATCCATAAAACACATTAATTCCAAGCAAACATAAATTTGATTAAAAAAATAAAATAAAATTCACCATTATTGTCTTTAAGTTCTTCTTCTTCTTCTTTACCTCATCTCTCTAATCTACCTTTTCTCACCGGAAAAACGGGAGAAAACGCTATGCTCTTAGCCTGACTGCAAATCGGCACGTTAAGAATCGGCCTTATCCTTATACTCATTCTCTCCTTTCCTTTCTTCTCCTTCCTCTTAATAACCTTAGACTTGTCTTTAACATTATCAGCATGATCACTTAGTGAAGCTCTCGGAGAAGACGAGGATTTAGAAAACGAGGACGGCATGGAAAAAGGTGGCGCTGACGTGGTGCGCGATTTTTTCAAATTCAGTAGTTCCTTCCACAGGATGGTGCATTTGGGTGGCCTCGGAGATGGGTCGTCTTCCGGAAGCCAGTTGATAGTCTCTCTTGTGATCGGGCGCGTGGCCTTACCCAAGCCATCCGCGGGCTTTGGTTGGCTGACCGAAAGGAACTCAAACTCTATCATGTCCCATTCGGAATAGGCTTCGTCCCACATGGGGTTGGGGCATATCGAGATGAAGTCGCGATCGTTGAAAAAATCAGATGAGAACGACGTTCGTGGGCTCAAGGGTTGCTCGGTTATGGGATTCGATGCCGGTTGATGGATTTTTAGGGAGACCATTTGATCTTTTTTTTTTTTCTTTTTATTTATTTATTTTTTCTTTGTGGAGAGAGAGAGAGATGTGTTTCAGCTTATGTTTTTTATTAGGTGTTAAGACATGTCTTTGCATGGGTTTATAAAAGAAGTGAGAGTCGGGAGGCGTTAGGGAGCTCCTTTAACATACAGTGATCATTGAAAGGCTTTATGTGTTGTCGCTTTCTTTTAGTTTGGTTTTAGGTACTGTGGGCCGTGGGGTGCTACGGTTATAATTTTTTTTTTTTTTTTTTTTTCAATTCATACTTAATTTTTTAACTCAATACCACTGTCTATCAATATTATTAATGAGAAATGTTCACCTAACCACCGTAAACACTCGTTAATATACTCACCGCGTAGGTGACATGCACTCATTGGTGATGTATTTTTTTAAACATATTAACATCACCAATGAGTGGATGCCACCTACGCGGTGGGCATATTAACATGTGTCCATAGTGGGTATGAGAGCATTTCTATATTATTAATATAATTAAATAATAATAATCAATCATTTTTATATGTCACGTCAATTTTAATTCACTATTCATTTATTAACTAGAATAATTTTAACTAACCATCACTTCACTTTATTTTTTTTTTTACTTTTATATCAAATCAACTTTATTTACTTTAAATATTATTTTAGTATAAATTCAGATCCCCAATAACAACTAACTACAACAATTTTGTCAAAATTAATCATGATAAAAAAAAAATCATTCTGAGGGAATAAATTTGTATCGTAAAGTTGGATGACAGGTTGAGGATGTCCTTACATCTCTAAGGTCCCAGATAGCTAAGGCACAAGAATATTTTGAATAACTATATTTTACCACTTGGTTGTGTTGGAACTAGGTCTGCAAACGATTCGAGCCAAACTCGAGCTATAAAAAATATATAAAAAATGTCTTTTCGAGCTTGACCCGTTATGACTTCAAACTCGAGTTGAACTTGAGCCTTAACGAGTTGAACTCGAACCGAGTCAGACTCGTTTAATTTAACAGCACTTCCAAAAATGTCTGAACTTTGAAACGGTTCAGAATCTGCGTTCAATTGTCCCTACCTCTCAAACAAAGGCAAACTTCACATTCCCATCTCCCTCATTTTTCATGTCCCCTCCGCCACTGTCATTCACCAATTCATCATCGGCAAAGAAAAGCATACTCCGCCTGATTTCCGACCGCTCCAGACGGCCACGGCAAGTGCTCCCAGAAGACCACGTCCAGGGAATACATTGTAAGTCACTTTTCTTCTTGTTCGAGGTCGACTCCCCCTGGTACTCGAATTTTGGGTCAAAGGGGGTCGTCGCTCGGCGATGTTGTTCTTGGGGCTGGAGTTTCGACACTGTTAGGCAACCGAGTGGTTTTGACAGTTTTGGGTCTGTGCATCTGGTTGCGGGATTCACGGTTGACTTGATTCCACTGGTTCGATTAGGTGTTGCTGCTTTGGAAGAGCTCGTTTAGTTGTATCGTATTTGTTTTGCTGGTAGTTTAGTGGTATTGTTGTCGTTTTCGTTTGTTTTGAGTCTATGTTTGTGTTGTTAGGTTGTTTTAGTCTTTTTTTTTTTTTTTGGTTTGGGCCGTTTAGCCCTTGTGAATAGTCATTACTCAATTGGAGGTCGTTCCACATTACCCTATTGGGGCCGTCTTAGGTTGGTCTTTATGTTGTGTTGTTTTTAGTTTATTTTCTAGTGTTGCTAGTCGGGCTCTAAGCGGCTTTATGACCTGTCATACCTATTTTCGGCGGTTGGCTCTTTAGCTGAGACTGTGTATTTTGCACATGTGCGTTTTTTATTTATAATATTATCTATCTTTTCGTTAAAAAAAACCATTATAAACTTACTAAGAAAAAGCAAAATACTTGTGGCATAAAATTTACAAATAAAATATATAATCAAGCTAATTAATTATTTATCAAATTTTATAAAATGATTTTATAATAATACAATCTCAAAATAAAATAAATAAATTTATAAAATATATTCATAACACATTAACCCATCTTCCCACATTCACATTTTTTAGTTAGCTGACAAGTCACAACTGCAATTTCTCCTTAAACCTACACAGCTCTCAATGAAGCTATCATGGTGATGGCGTCGATGATTTCTGAGACCCTCCCAAAATTCACGGCTGAAACCCTAAAGCTTGCGGCGAAGCAATCTGAACGATGCCGCGTGATTCCAGTCCATCTCCGCCGCGCCATCGACAGGTATCTTAAAGGTAAAGCTAAAACGAAATTCGTACTAAGGACAATGCTTTTCACGAACGTGTCATTTTTCTATGCCTTATCTTCTTCTTTTTATTGGGATAATTCTTCTGTTCGTGTGCTTTTGAAGAAAAATGAGAGCATATAGATATATTGTAAATCTAGTTTTACATCATCAACATCATCAACATCAACATACCCAGTATATTCCCAACAAGTTGGGGTCTGGGGGGTCAGTTGTACGCAGACCTTACCCTTGTAATTATACAAGGAGGCTGTTTCCATAGCGACCCAAGGTGCGTTGCGTCGTTTGATATATTTTTTTTTAGAAACTTCACTAATAGAAGAAGCACTAGAATTTAATTGAGCTATTTTGATCTAGTCCATATTAGCATTATGCTAGAAGAATTGTCAACAATGACTCTTCCAGCTCCATATGCAATGGACATTGTAAATCTAGTTTTACGATACTGTATTTATCATCTCAGCTGTTTGAACCAATTTCTCAAATTCGTATGTACTGGCTCGAGAATAATGTATTATTTTGCTTGCTAAACACATATGTGACCCACGGTTATGTATTGTAGAGCAACAAGTTGAGCACATGAGGAGGAAAGTGTTGTGCTTGTCCCAATCATTCAATGGAATCAAGGAAGTGAATTTGCTCTTGCCGAGCTCGACCTCAAAGGAGCTCGTGGAAGATCCATTCAAATCCATGGAGCGCTCACAGAGGTGGAAAGTCAAGACTGCTTATGGAGACATTGGTCTTAAATACCAAGAGGAGCAGGCGGTAGCATATGTTGCAGCTCGTATGCCTGCAGTCTACTCGGCTCTCTATCGTGTGCTCAATGAGGTATAGAAATGAGTAGAGGTGTGAGCTTGAATTTGACTTAGTAAATTATGTTGGTAGTTTTGATTGAAGAGTGTCTTTTTATGCTTATTTGGTTTGTCTGGGGAAGTTTCATATTATAGATCGTGGTGCTTAAAATCCATTGCATATAAAGAATGGGATAACGAAAAGGAAGCACTTATGAGGTCTTGCCTAATGAAGAAGATCTCTGTTACCTTTAGCATTGCATTAAGCCTTTTATAGGGTTACAGAGAACCCCTTGAAGTTGTAATATGATAATGTCTTAAGTGAATATTCCCCTCTGGGTGGTGGAAATTTTAAAGAAAAACAAGTATAAATGCAATATTTGTTTCTGAAAGTGATGGATATATCTTTCTTTTTCTTTCCATTTTTTTGGGGCTGGTGATTAGGTTATGTTTGAGGTAGTTTCAGTACTTCACGTCAAGGAATTGCTATTGATAGATGGACTTTCCAACCTCATTATTTGGACAGATCGTTATGTTCTTTCTGTTCCAAGTAAGATATGGTTGAGTGAGCTTTTTCTTAGTGATTCTATATGTGTACTATATTTTATGCATAATTGTTGGAGATTCCTTTTTCTACATTTTTTTACTGAATAGGTTTTGTTATGGTGAAATTTCTTACTCTGACAAGTTTAGAGGTGTCCTTTTCTTCTTGTCCAGTATAAGCATTTTACTTAATATTGAATGGTATTGTTCACGTAATTCCAATGTGGTGATGGTGACTGGATTTTTCGGTTCATACGAATTTATTAGGTCAGAAGAAGAGTTCCAGATTTTACTCCAGCAAAAGTGCTAGATTTCGGGGCTGGAACTGGTTCAGCATTATGGTGTGCTCCATAGTCCCACATCGACATCAATTATATTTTTTATTTATATTATTAATGTTCACCCATTATGGTAGGGCAATCATGGAGGTGTGGCCTGGGTCTTTGGAGCACATTAATTTGGTCGAACCATCACAATCGATGCAAAGAGCAGGACAAAGCCTAGTGAAAGGTATAATCACGGTGGAGTCTTTTTGGCTGCATATATGATCATTTATAAGATACGGGATTGTGTCTCGTTTGCTTTGGTGTAGGTTGGTTTGAGATTTAGTGATCTGCCAACAATGTGAATGTTGAGTGGAATATAACCTTCTTGTGTGTATGTCCCAGCCAAGCGAAACATGTAACAGAGAGAGAAAATGCGTGAGATGTGCATGGTAGCTTTACTTTCCCTTAAATATCTCATAGAATTGGAACTTTCTCGAGATTTCACTAAATGAAATTGCTCCAAAGCATGCAACTTACTTTGGATAATTAAAGATATGGCCCTAAAGGCAGGAAAAAGAAGGGCGTTTTGTTAATATGTGTAGTACCTGTCATATTTTTCAAGAATCAAACAGTTTCATACCTGCATAGTCTCATGGATCCTCATTTTTAAGAATGTAGTGGTTCATTCATGTTTTCTTCATGCATACAAGTTGGCTAGAAGCTTCTCATTGCGTTGGTGAGGACTACACGTTCTGATCGATCCAGGGTTTCACATTATGACTAGCTTCTCCTATATTCATCCATGAACCACTTCACTAGGAGAGGCCCTCTGAACCATTTCATTATAAAAAAGCTTGAGGTATCAATATAGGCACTTTCACTCCATCCCTTCCAGCTACTACCTCGTGTATGTATTTCAGGCTTAAACATTTGAAATCTTAAACTGATGTCTACTTTACATGTATATTTATATCAGTATGTATATTTAGTGATATATTAATAAATTAATTTGCTTTTGTTCCTTAATTGTTGATTGCCTGCACAACACTTAAAATTCTTGTCCAGATTTGAGAGCTTATAATTTTCTTATAATGTACGCATATTTTCCCCTGAGCTTTATTTTTTTCATTAAATGTTCCTGGGTAAATAATGTAGATATAGAAAAAATGCCAATAATTCAAAGCTACGACAGCATCCAATCATTGACTAAGCATATCAACAAATCTGGCAGACAGCATGATCTGGTCATTGCTGTAAGTATGATTTGTATTATTATTATTATTATTATTATTATTATTTTTTTTTTTTTTTTTTTTTTTTTTTTTTTTTTTATGTATTGGCGTATTTTGGGTTTACTTAACCATGCTAGTGCAATTGGGTTGGCTTTCTAAGTTGACCACATGTTTTCTCTTTTTTCTCCTTTATTTAATTCTTTTTGTTTGGATTGTCGTTAGTTATAAATGGTGTGATGGGTTAAATGTTAAAATGTTTTGTTCTATTTGGTGAAGTCATACGTACTTGGAGAGATATCATCGTTGAAGGACAGAATTACTCTTGTGCGCCAACTTTGGGATCTTACAGATGACATTTTGGTAAAATTTTGAACCCAATGGTTTACTTTACTTATGTGTGTGTAGATGAAGGCGTTGCTTAATTTTTGGTTTTGTCAAGCTCTCTGAATATTCTTTAATTACTGGTTGTCAAGCTCTCTGAATATTCTTTACATACATTCGTTAGACACAGGTTATAGGTTTCCTCTTTAAACATGCCTTTTTCTCTGAAGATGACACATAGAGCAGTAATTCTTAGCAACAGACATTTCAGTATGTCGTTTGATTCAACCATTTCATGATTGTCTCCAAGAATAAGTGTAAACCTGTTGGGATCATGGTGAGACCATAAGTCAATCAGATGATGAGATGTCTGTGAGTCACTGTTTGCTGATGTGAATGTAAAAGGAATCACTTCTTGGTTTAGATGATGAGAACGTTGGTGTCTCATAAATTTAGAGGGTGTTTGAGGTCTCACAAAGGAAAAGAGAACAAAGTATATTTGGTGTGTGTGAAGGGGAATCTGTAAGACGGCAGCAATGTTTTACTTATGAATCACCATTACACAAAGAAGGAAAGAGGAATTATTCACAGTTGTATGATTAGCCTTTCTGTGCTTTTGGTGAGGTGTTCTACTGTATATGTCAGGGTTCGTTGGTGGATCTTTTGTTGCATTGTTGTTACATGGGTATGCAGTGCTGTTTGGTGAATCTTAAATGAAAATCTTGGGATCCTGTGTAGCTGTAATGATGAAATGGTTCAAGAACAACAAGAAAGGTGGACCGAATTATCTTTATTTTGCTATTTAGGCGAGACCTACACATGAAGAGTTAAGTAAGCATAAGCTTCAAGAATCTGATCGTTGGCCTTGAACATAACTCTTCACTAGAATCTTAGTATATTGATACTCAGTTGGGATGTGAAAATGTAATTGAAGGAATAAATTAGGGATAAAGTCAGGTGCTGGGTCCTAAAATATACACTTCTTCACTTCTTTGATCTTTCCCTTTCACAGGCTCGTGATAATAATCAGTTTTGACAGTTGAGTCTACAAGAGGACTCGGCTCTCTCATTTTTTTTTTTT